CCAACACTAATACACACCTTTTTTTATGGAAATCACATAATGAGCGATCCATGTCTGCGTACTTCGCACTGTACTTATGCAAGTAATTAGACTAATCAAGCCACTTACGCAGATTTTTTTATTGGAACTGGCCAGTTCACTATGACCCTTGCTTTAGCGGGATCCACTCGAATGCATCGCTTCCCAATGAAGCAACACAAGAAGGGAATCGCTTCTGCACGAAAGATGCACTTGGATGCATTTGCATTTAAATTATTCATGAGCATTCACCCGAGCACCGCTCGTAAATGATCAGTGTGATTCTCCCACATCAGATAAGCCGTTCGTTGCACGACTATGGACAAAGATGTCATTAAAGTACGTCTGTGCATAGCCTCGATGATGTCTAAATAGTTGCATTAACAGACGATGTTTCAAAAGTAACGGGGCATTTGGCATCCTTTGTGGCATAATGAGACACTCCCAGAGCATACCGTTCGAAGGTAATTACCGCTGTTAGCAAAATATCGCCTGCTTGCATGAGCCGCTGGTAGTAATTATCGACTAAGTCGAGCGCACTGTACAATATACATCCCACCATATTTTTTTAAGAACCTCCTTTCTGGGGATTGGTGTCTGAGCCGGGATAGTGGCATCATCAAGCTTACTAAAAGCATAGATTGTGCGCCGCTTACCATTTGGCTTCCTGACACAAAACGTCGGTGTGGATTAGAAAGATTTACTCCCACGCACCATTCCAGCCGCTTGCTTTGCATAAAATAAATCGTCAATGACGTCAAACAGTTCCTTAAGTAAATGAATGCAACTGCCGTGTTACGCAGTATTTAGTTTCTGGAACTAGGTTATTTTTATGACGTACACCTCTTTCGGTAGGTTAGGCAGACGGTAAAGTGTGAAACACTACATCTTAGAATTTCTAAAAAATGAATAAAGTGGATGTAAAGGATCTTAAAGAGTCAAAGATCCTTTACGGGCGCTGAGTGACGCCTTGGTGTCCTGTAGGGTCAAATCATACATTAATAAGGACGAGTTCAACTCGACGTCGGGTCTAATGATCACTAATTCGGATACATCCCCTCCCTGCAAAGGATGGATAAACCCTTTACCAGCCATTTCGTCAAGCTCACAACGAGCATCCAGAAATTGAATAGTTCTTCAGTCTAACATTGCTCTCAACCTGGTCAGTCACTCGGTTGACACGTGAACAGAGTGTATTACTATAGTCACTATGTGACTCCTCGGACGCCTGGCTCTCAACAGTTGCCACCTGGCATCAAAATCGTCTCTGCAATGAGACCTTATACCCCTCTGGGGTCGGGACAATAGTTCCATCGTGATTATTACTAGTAGTAGTACGCTCTGCAAGCAAGCTGATTCCTTGGATCTACATCTGGTGAAGTGTTACGTAACACGAACACTTCACCCAGTTGATTTAAACGTGCCACTACAATTACACCCATGGGGGTATAGCCCTGAACTTAACAACATTTCGCCAAACTGTCTTTACCGGCATTAAGTACCACTTCACGGCCGACCGCACTTGGTGCATCTTCACGTGCCGCCACAAACTCATCAAAGAAATCGCATCCTTGATGACTCGGCCCTAGTCCAACCGTGATTTTAGAATGCAGTGACTCGTCATCACAGCGGGTAACACTCAACGGAGTACTTGCCATTTCACTAATACTCGACACGCTACGCTCGAAATTAATGCTTTGAACATTGGAGTTAGGTAACTCAGACGTTTTAATGTCCAACACATTGAAATCTTCTGTCAAAGCCTCGCGCCGATTGTAAATTTGTTTTTGACCAAAGGTAAATTCATGACTCTCTAAACCTGCGCTGTAAAAATTTGCGCGTAGCGCCTAAGGTCTTAGAAATCAAATCAGTTCATGGATCACGGCGTTCGAGCCAAGCCATCCCTAGGTTGAGACCTTATCTCGAGTCTAAATCAAGGACAAGACAGCTTCCAATGCTATCAAAGTCCGAAAACCTGTATACCTAAGCTTAACGGAACTTTGACAAGACTTTTAGTTGCTAAATAGATCTTAATAGCATCACCCTCATGCGCTGTACGCACTTCAGCAGAACGCTGACTTCCCTCAAGGTAACGATGTCGAGCTTAATTGCAAGACGCCTCAGAATTGATTAAAATCGACCAAGGCTTTTCAAAGCCTCGAGCTTTCGCTTTACTTACCAACAAGCCAAACTTGTGTCCACGCTCCATAGCAGTGGGTATGGAATTCTTTGAGGATATGCCTTGTTCAACTTTACCTCTTAAATGTGCTACAAAATCTAGATTCTCAACTAGGGCGCCCCGCGCCTACTGGGTGTTGACGTTTCCCCGTACCATGCCAAAATTCTGGTGCGGGGTACAGTGTTGACTTGTAAACTGCCGCTGTAAACGCAAAGGGCAACCAGGCCGCAGATATTTAGTGCTTCCGAACCTAAAACACCATCGTATAACACGTTTCTGACCAGCATCTGAAAGTTCAGCTTCACCTTCATCCTCACCATATCTGAGATCCATCATTTTTGACTTATAAATGTCCGGAGAACTCGTGGAGTTTGCTCTAGCAGAGTTAGGGATGTACCCAGTCCAGCAAAGTCTAGACAACTTGAAGTTATGCTTAGCATTAATAGCATTTCTCACAGCCTCTTCGAATGTAGAAGGGCGAACCCGAAAGACTTCGGGTTCTAATAATACCAGTACGAAGACCCTCCACGAATACAGTCACATGGACTGTCTCATGCATGAGGGACATACTGCATAGCAGTATGCAGTAGGTGGTGAAGAAACCTTTACCAATTGTGACTGAAGTGATTCCCACGTGGGAAACGCTTAACTGACCGACGTGCTGCACGTCAAGACCCATTCTCTAGCTCTTCCATCAAGCTTTGAAATATCCAGGAACACCTGTTGATGGTCAAGATTGAACAGGCCTGATCTCATGGCCTTCTCAATCTCACACAGCCAGCGTATAGTTTTTCACCCTCCTTTTTGAGTAATTGTCAACTACCACTAAAAGTCGACGAGGCCTTGCCTCTCGTCTGGACAGACACGTTGCGTGTAAGCATAGCCGACGCCATTTAGTCTTGGACATGCCCTAGAAGGGACGCTCAAACTGAAAGAAGCCCTCAACACGTGCAGTCAGCACCCTTGGGGACTGGCGATACAAGAAATTTCACATACCCTGGACCCAAAGATACGGTCAGCTTACCAAGTGCGAACTTCTGGTCCTCTGAGAGGGAAATGGAATTTCGTATCTTCACAGAGGATCAGTCTCCTAAGAATCATGCTTAGATTAACTACAAGTGCTACCAAGTGTAGCGGAGCTACACAGCTTCTTAAGTCAGAGGAAGACTTAGTACTCAAAGAGAGATATTCGATCTAAAGAACTGGACTCTATGAATCAACCAGCGTAAAGCTTAATGTCTCTGTTCCAGGATACCGAACGACTCAGTGAATCTACAGCACTTAGTGCTCGTGAGTAGCTATCAGGGCGGTGTTGCTAACTCGTAACGATCTATGATCATCGACGCATCACAAGACACGTCTCTTGTAAAAGATCAAAAGAGGAACTGAACTTTATTTACGTTTAACCCTACAGAATTTCCTGGTCATAATGTTACCTAATCAAGGCACTCATGCGCTAATTAATGAACATTTTTAACATCTTTTCTATCGTGTGGCTGACACCCGTCGGCCACTATAAGTCGGTAAGGTATTTTAAATCGTTTTTAGTGGGATAACGTCCCGTGTGTCTGAGACACAGGGTACCGAGTACTCTGTGATGTGTAACCCCTTTACAGCTCACGACACCGTGACCGCTATTTATGACGCATTTGGCACTGGATCGGTCCTAATCGCCGACCTCAGTTATGCAGTACCTTCTCCGTGACAACCAACGTTAGATACTTTTAAGCTGGTCGCATACCGCCCCCAGTGGCCGAGTGGTAGACCTCTGGAACTAAGACCGGGAGGTGCCTGGATCGATACTCGGAGTGGGTTCGATTACAGGGAGCCGAAGATAGGCCGCTATAGTAGACGAGCAACCACGCAGAAGTGGGAGCCCTGCCAACCCGCGCAAGGCGTGTGATAATTGGGTGGGCTGGAGGCCCTACTGGCCGAAAAGCCCCATAGTGTAATGAGGGGTGCGGGTCCTGTAAGGACTCTAAACTGAGTCACAGTACTCGCAGTTCACCACAGGGTGATCTGAAGGACCGTGCGGCATAAATCTATTGAAGCTGGTCGCATGCGACTGATCTTGAAGTTGGCACAGAGCCGGCTCACGAAGCTCAGGGATACACTTTATTAGCAAGATCAACAGCCAAGAACGAGGTAGAGGCGTGGATACGAAAAGCATGTTCATTTTTTTGAGGTGCAGAGTGTCTATTTAATTAACGTTTCTAAGTACAAGACCTCTGCAAAGACCTGAGCCAGGATATGAATGCAGGTGTACCCGGTGGCTGATCGTGATCGATCCCCTGAAATAACGGGGACCCTCTAGGTTGTCGAATAAGCAGTTTAATACACGCATTGAGAGTCGCCTTTGATACGCACAAATGTGCATATCAACTATCTGCTCACCACTCATTGCGTGCGTCTGTCGTGGCGCCTCTTCGTTGGTTGATATAATGGCCTATATCAACCAATTAGGAACTACTCGTAAGTGCTGCAGAATATTTGTCCTTATGACGATATTCTGTGAATTTAACTCTTATAGTTATATTCTATTAACAATTTCTTATAAATTGTTATGTAACGATTCACCCCGTTACATCACCCCCCCCCTCAACCATCAGTCACTTTAGTGACTGATTGACTAAATGGATACTCGTTCCAAATTATTTGGGACAGGGTTTGCACTTGTTGGTCCGAGTCCACTTCCCAACGTTTCATCGCATGGTTAACAAGCCCATGCGATGCGCGAGCAAGGCCGCCGAGAGCGCGTCCGCACGTCTCTGTGCGGACGACGAAGCAGAAACCGCAGCAACTGATGTCTCATCGGTTGCTGAAGCGACTTAGCCTGTGTCACTTGGTGATGCAGGCGCTGGTCATGAAGACACTCATGTCTTCACAGAGTATGAGCTCGGTGTCTCATACTCTCCCGATACGACGGACCGACGGATCCGTATCGACGGCGATCGAAACCAAGCCACCTGCCAAGCGTGGCATGGATGATGCTATGCGTCGTAGCATCTTTGGTTCATCTGACGAATCAGATGAACCATCGCCAAAGCGAAGTCGCTCGAGGTCGCAAGACTCGGGCGCTCACAGTGGTGTCGGTTTTCCTATTGACACCACTTCGCAACAAGGTGCCAGTCTTCTGTCGACACGTCGCAAGAAGAGCGGGACCGCAGTGTGTTGTGTCTCGCTCCCGAGAAGAAGGCATGGATGCCTCCAAAATACGTCATGGATCACTTGTCGGCGACGACGAGTGAGAGCTATCGAACACGATTGTTCGATTCGTCAAGGATCCATCACCTTGAACCCAGTGCGAAAAACTATCGCGCTGAGAATGAGTTCTTCATCGATGCTTTCTTTGAACATCGATGGTACAGTGGTAATCACGAACGTGATGGTCCCTCACTGCTTCAAGCGTGGAACGCTTACATCCATAACCTTGAGAATGTAGGCCGTGACGTTTGGAACGACAAACTTATCAAAGCTCGTGATAAGTTTGAAAAGCGAACCCCGACAGGTGCACGCTACAAGCTGCATCGTCTGTCTAAGGAAAGTGGGTTAACCTGCCTCTCTTGGGGAGACTCGTGCCCATGTTGTGTGAACAACTCTGCGCGCGCACCTAAGGAGACTTACCTCCTTACTAGCCCGTGGTGGCGCGTACGTATCTCTACTGAGATGTACGAAGGGATTGACAACCTGAAATCCCTTTACGACCGTGCCGGGAAGACTTTCTCCGGTGGTCCTTCTGCGGCACAGGATGTGCCGCGTCGTACTGCTCGACCAGACCCAGTACGTCAACCATCAGTTGAGAGCGGGGCTCCCAAGAATCCCAGGACGGGGGATAGCCGCGCCACCGGACGAGGTAACTCGTCCGACGTCCGTTTACATCGCGGTGGTTCAACAGCTGCTCAACCAGATAGCGCTGGCCACCGCGAGAGTCCTCTAATGGATGTGAAGGAGGAGGTAAAACGCTCTCCACACAATTGTGGGGAAGCGTGTATCCCCGAGAGCCTCTTTGATCGCGTAACGCAAGCGTTACGCGGCGATCTTGAACATTAGCAGGACAGTCGTCTTCAACTGGCGGACACTGTCTTGAAGCATCGAGCTGAGTTTGCCTTTGCTCAGCTTGAGAACGAGAGAGCTCTGACATCTCTGCGTGACGAGCTAAGGGTAGCTCGTGTGGATATTGACCGGTCTCGGGCTGAGATAACTGCTCTTAAGACCCTTGTCGATGGCCACCATCGGGAGCACAAGGCTCTCTGTGAGATGCTTGAGCGCAAGGGCGTTCTTCATCGGAAGAAGCAGCGTACTGATGGTACGGCTTAAGCCGACCAACGTAAAACGTGGGATGCGTTCGCATCTTACGTGGCAGTTCGATCGTGTATGCGTTGCCTAGGCGATGCAATACACGAAATGGGCCGATGTACTTGGGTAGAAGTTTACTACTACCTAATCTAGTCACTACATGCTTTGGTAGGTTAGTTGTAGACAGTAGGACTAAGTCACCTTTCTTAAATAAAAGAGTGTTTGCCCTTCCATTCTTGTCAGCGTTTTGCTTTTGCTTATCCACCGCTAAGGCGATGGAGTCTTGCACAAAACGGACTACCGTTTCACGAGCCAGTATGAACTCATCTGATGACTCGTTAGCTTCAGTGCGCTATGAGTGCACTGCAGCAACATCAATCTTTTCTTCAGTGAGGGCTTCCGCACTCTCACTGGCATCATCTTCTTCGATATCGATGTTATCGATATCGACATCAAACGCAATGACCTCTTCGTCAGAGCGTGATGAGCGTGAACCAAATCGGTTTTTGCTCGCGCGAGTCCCTCCCCCCTTAAACCAGAGTTACACTCTAGTAAGGTGGGTACACGCGGATGGAGCAAGCCATGCACGTAAAACGGTGTATGGGTCGTGGACGCATGCAACGAGTTGTTAATGGCAAACTCTATCATGGGCAAGAACTCACTCCAACTCTTAAAAGGAGTGTGCGTATCCGCGAAGTATCTCTTCTAGGACACGATTGGCTCGTTCTGTCTGACCATCTGACTCTGGATGATCAGATGTCGACACCATCAAGCGCGTTCCGAGTGATTTGAACACGGAACGCCAGAAATCAGCAGTGAAGCGTGGATCTCTGTCTGATACGAGTTCACGGGGCGACTTATGAAGTCGTAAGATGGTGTCAATAAAGACACAAGCACAGTCAATTGCTGTGATTGATTCGGGTATAGCCACAAGGTGTACCATTTTGCTGAATCTGTCAACAAATACGAGAATACCCGTATTCTCGCGTGCGTCTTTGGGTAACCCGAAGACGAAATCCATTGAGATGGATTCCCAGCACTCAGCCGGAACCGGTAGAGGCTGTAAAGGTGCACGCAGTGAAGGACTTGACTTCACTCGTTGACAGACTTCGCATGCGCGAACGTACTTGCGCACAAACTGATACTGGCGGGGCCAGTAAAAGTCTCGACTCACCGTGATATAAGTTTTCTGTCGGCCACGATGTCCTCCTATAGGAGCATCGTGATACTCGAACATGATCCGCAACCGCAGATCAGTATCATCTGGAATGACAACACGTGGTGTGTCACCAGAAACGGCTGTATAATGCAGTAAACCGTTGCGAGTAGTGTATCGATCTGATGCAGATCGATACGCAAACGATAATCGTTTCAACGGTTCTCGAGATGATTGTGAGAGATGTGTCAACAACTTCACAATCTCACCATCTTGGGCGTATGCCCGCCTCACATCATCATATAACGTTGAAGATGGTACTGAGGACCTCATAACCGCAACAGTGGCTGTCTCACTGCTGGGTTTCACGACTGGTTCAAAGTCGGGCCGACGTGGATGTGCATCAGCGACGACAGTAAGTCGTCCTGGATTGTACTCTACCGTAAAATTGTATTCTGCAAAGAGTGACAACCACCGCGCCATTCGTTGTGAAGGGTGCGAACTGTTTACTGCCGTGCGTAACGACGCATGGTCAGTGTAAACAACGAAGGGTCTATCTCCTAATAGATAGACTCTGAACTTCGCGAGTGCATACTTCATGGCAAGGAGTTCCTTGTCATGCACTGAATAGTTCCGCTCAGCTGGTTGCAGCTGACGCGACTGATAGCAGACGACGCGTTCAACGCCTTCAAGGTCGTACTGCATTAACGCACAGCCGATTGCGAAATCGCTGGCATCACAGACCACATGAAATGGCCTGTCCTGATCGGCTATTGCTAGGACTGGGGATTGTATTAAGCTCTGCTTGATATAATGAAAGGAGCGCTGACATTCAGCGTTCATAACCACCTCTCGTTCTTTTTCAACAAACGAGAGAGGTGCACAGTCATCTCGGCGTAATTGCGTGAATACTTATGCAAATACGCCGCTAGCCCAAGGAATTTTCGAAGACCTTTGACATCAATCGGCACAGGCCAGTCGGTGATCGCCTTGATCTTTTCGGGATCAGGACGTACTCCGTTCTTACCAACGATGCACCCAAGAAGTGGTACTTCGCTTGCTGCAAATATACACTTCTTGCGTTTTGCATACAATTGATGCTTTCGCATGATTGTAAGAACCTGTCGGACGTGGTACCTGTGAACCTCAACGTCCGAATTTCCATCCATAGCCCGACTATGGATGAATAGGTCATTGAAATAACTCGGTGCAAATTCTCGTACTGGTCTCAACAGATGTGATATACATCTGTTGAACGTGGCAGGGGCATTACTAAGCCCTTGTGGCATTACTAGCCATTCCCAGAGCATGCCGCTAGGCGTGCTCACTGCGGTATAGGGTATATCCCGTTCTCGCATAAGGATTTGATAGAAGCCATCCATCAAATCCATGGACGAAAAGATGGTACTCTTTGACATACCATCAAAGATTACATCCTTCCTTGGTATCGGCGTCTGAGCCGGTACCGTTGCAGCATTCAACTTGTTAAATGCATGCACAATCCGCCACCCTCCTGTTGCCTTTCGCACACAGAAGGTCGGAGAGCTATATGGGGAAGTTGATTCCCTCACATGGCCCGCAGCTAAACGGTCGGCAAGGAACTTGTCGATCGCAAGTACTTGTTCACGAGGCAGTGGCCACTGCTTCATGACACAGTACTTCGAGCCTGGTTTAAGCTCGACCTCGTGTCGAGTACCTATATCCTTCGGTAATTCGCACGGAACAGTTTCAGGGAATAAACCCTTGAATTCAACCAAATCTTCATAGAGAGGATTTGTCTTGAGCGATTCCCACGATTGGGAGTCATATTGCTCAATTCGTGTCTTTTCATCTAGGACACTCTCGTCCATCGATGAACTACTGAGAACTCTCTCGTTCTCAGTAAACACTGTTGCTGACCTTATGTCGGTTACACACTCGTCGTCATTGACGAGTATGCATATCTGCTTGACTTTGCCACTACGTAGATCACGCAAGAACCTTTATGTTCGAGCGTTGGCAACTGAGTGATATCCGAAGTCAACTTCGGAGGCGCAATCAGATCAAGTGTATAAGCGCCTACACTTGATCCGTTATTGACTAGGATATTCGATGTCTCTGTCATTTCCTGGGGACTTGTTCCCTCAGGCCTCGAAGGACTTATTCCTTCGGCTTCCCGGGGACTTATTCACGCGGGTTTCGGGGAACTTATTTCCGCCGTATTTGTAATCTTGGGACTTATTCCCTTTACTTTCTCTAGCTGGGGTTGCGTAATCACAGCGAGATCCTCTACGAAAGACTCTCCAGTCGATCTAGGATTATCGTTTCGCTTAACCTAAGCGATCGATTGTTTCTCTTCTAGATGTTCCCCGCTAGGGATACATCTTTGTCCCGGTCCACTCGACTTATTCGAGTTGTGGACCTTCAGCGCAGCCTGTGTTTCCTCACAGCCGCCGGAACTTTGCTCCGAAGTGTAACCGTTTGTTACACCAAGGTTTTGTGCAGTCGTACTAACAACCGTACCACAAGTGAGGCTATCGCACTCACTCGTAGTACATCCACACGCTTGTGGACGCTCCAAAACGTTCATCAGCTGGCCATCTCATGAACAAGCGGCAGGCATCGTTACTATTCGATGTTGCCAGTTTACTCGTGGTTCGTACCTTCTGAGCTACGGTATTTCAAAGATGACATCAAATTTGTCATCCAAATCTAATACGATAAAGTCATCGTCATATTGGGTATCTTCTAGCGTATAGTGGATCTTCACTATACGCTTCATGACGGTTACGGATGCGACTGTCGCAAGACGTACCGTCATCCTCGTAGGAGGTATGTCACATTCGCTAAACTTGAAGTGACCATCTTCTAGCGATTGGCGTCGCACAAAATTGTTAGACGCCCCACAAGCGACTAGAGCTCGAAGGGACAACTTATTCGTCACTTCGAGTTTCAAGGTAGTGAGTGAGATCTCATTACCTAGAGCAGCAACGCACAGTGTTTGTGTGTTGTAAGCAACCTTCATCAAGAGGCCTACAAATTCTCTTGACGTTGCTGGACCAGTAGGGTGCTCCACACTACTGATCCTGTCCGTTTTTGACGGTCCATCCCGTTGTTGCATCTTTCCACCAACAGCGGACCCGCGTCCCTGCCCCTTTCTCATGGGTGAACGGTCACTACGCCCAGTGTTGCGAGACACTGGACGAGAGGCACTACACTCGTAAGCGTAGTGTCCTGTCTTCTGACATCTGTTGCATATCTGCAACTTCTCGTAGTCTGTAGAGCGAGCCTTCTCTCTCTCTAAATAACAGAGTTCCATCGGCTCTGGACCTCCGTTGTCATATCGTATCGGTGGACGATATGATGTCGAGCTGGCGCGAGCCTGTCTCAGACTGAAGTCTTCCTGTTCCGCAATGAAAATGGCTTGTTCTAGTGAACCTAGTTCAAGTCGGAACAGGTGAGTCTTGACGGGACCATCCGCAAGACCCTGCATGAACACCGAAACCAACGTGTGTTCATCCACCGGATTGGAACTTATACAACTCGTGAGATATCGTATTTGTTGCGCGTAAGCGTGCACATCACGCTTACCTTGTTTGAGCTTGAAGAGTTCAGTTCGAGCTCTGAACTCAGCTCTAGGCGGTTCAAACGTTTGTCTGAGCCGCAACATGAAGACTACTAACGACCCAAACGCATACGGGTCGTGCAACTTGAGCCCCAGTGCCCAAGTCTTGGCACTTCCTGCCAGATTTGACTGGGCAAATGCAACTTGCACATCCCCGTCGTCGATGCGACGCGCCCTTATGGCGTCGTCCAATTCGACGAACCATCTCAAGAGGGAGTCCTCTTCGACTCCCCTATACTTGGAGATGTCAATCTTCAAGGTCTCGGGTCGACGCGAGTGCATCGACCCACCAACAGCAGCCTGCTGCTGTCTCAACAGTTCAAACTGTTGAACACCCTGTTCTCTCAACAACTCTGCTTGCTGAGAACCTTGTTGGTGAAGCAAGGCTACTTTCTCGCGTTCAGCGTCAAGTTCATTTTGAATGAACTTGGCGATAGTAGCATGTTGGGCATCTCTATTGAGAGCCTCTAGCATGACGCTAACAGCATCGATGCCCATGCTTGAACCCTCCGTTCAACCGAATCCCATTCGACATTGCTCAAATGGGAGTAGCTTTCACGCGTAGTGTGAAAGCTTTGGTCATCTTCATCGTCCAACATATTCATGTTAGATGTGAACGTGGTCCTTGGACGGACTACGAAGTGCTACCAGGTGTAGCGGGGCACCCTGAAGCTTGTACTGATGACAGTACAAGCTACTTATTCTGATGACAGAATAAGGCTGTGCCTCGTAACTTCACGTACACTCGTACGTGCAGAGGAAGACGGTAAGGAGAAGCGAGTACTTGGTTAAAGTAAAAAGTAGAACTGTATTTATCATAGTTAATGTCTGTCAATAAACCACTGTTTATCCTCATCTAGCTATGAATACAAATGTGCATGTTAACTATCTGCTCACCACTCATTGCGTGCGTCTGTCGTGGCGCCTCTTCGTTGGTTGATATAAAGGCCTATATCAACCAATTAGGAACTACTCGCAAGTGCTGCAGAATATTTGTCCTTATGACAATATTCTGTAAATACAACTCTTAAAGTTATATTCTATTAACAATTTCTTATAAATTGTTACGTAACGATTCACCCCCTAACACACACCGCATGCTTCTTGTGAGAGACGCTATTCTGCAGACGTAAATGACCCGAACATCAGATTTGTCGAAAGCAGTTGCACCGTAATATGTAGCACAAAAGTCCCATGCATACTGTGGAGAACTGCGTCAAAGCTCACTTGCTTCGTGTACGCATTACTAAGCCTATCATGATTTTTAGTTCGGCACAGCGTGGAAGGTAACTGGACCGACATCCCTTTAACAGCTAGAGTCCATACAGCAGCGCTCTACCCGACATTTCGAAGCTGCGACCCCTACTACTCAGCCATTTTCATCTTGCTAAGCAGCAGTGAAGTCGCCCCAGTCCTCTTCGTCGTCGTCGTCTCGCTTCGAAAGAGCACCTGCACGCGGCGGAGCAACGACCGACACTGCCATCGATGACTCGCTCGGTGGCGGCGGAATCAACGGTACCCCGTGAGATCGACTCGCTCCCTGACTCTGTCCACTGCAATTGCTAGTGCGGCCACTGCTCGGTCGACGTTGCACCGCATTGTCTCTCTCGTTGCTGCCATGACTGGTCTTCAACTTGATTCGGATCATCGCTCCTTCAGGTAGACTCAACTTGCTTGACTTTTCGAGTGACACATCGTCACCACTACCAGCAGCTGCTTCCTCCCTCTCTTCCATCTCCACTTGACGGAGTGCATACTTGGCATAGTCCTGCAATGTCGCCTTGAAGTTGAACGCGGTGGCCCGTTCCGGGAAACCAATGCCGACAAACGCCCGTCGACCGCTCTCGTCGTCCGTCACGCGTACCATAAAGTAGCGCGACGAGTCGACGCAGTCGTGGACGTAAACGTCCAATGGTAGGTCCCGTGTGATCTGCAGCGGACATTGAGCAAAGAGAGGAGGAGTTGGATCCGATCGAGTCGCCGAAGTAGACGCAACGAGCGACTCGAAGAGTTGGACGGAACACGCGTCTCCTTTTTGCACGATACGAAGGGAACCTGTGAGTAACGGATACTCGGGGTCCCACGCATCTGCTCGAGGGGCAAGCGACGTCACATGACCAGCTGGAACGCGGTAGAACCACACGTTGTTCTCGCTGAATAGGCAACGCTCGAGCACGAAGGGATCCGATACTGATGATGACGTCTTCATGAGGATGGATGGACTGACTACCTGCCCGTTTGCAAACTGACAACAGCTTTTCCTGTGGCCTGTCTGTCTCTCAGTCTCGGGTTGACAACACTTAAGTGAGACCGTAGACGAACAAGTTCGCGAAAGAAAGTGGGCGGGTAATTATTTGACAATCTGCATAGCTGAAAAGAGATGGATCTCGAATGTTTAATAAACACGTACATATTGATTCTAAGTGCGGACAGCAAGAACGTCTGAACGACAACTATGGAAGTGCGAGAAAGTCATATACATACGGGGTGGTCGAGTTCAGTAGCGTTTTCTTCTTCTTCTTGGTCGCCAACTACATCTCGTTGTAGAGTTCGCGACGAATCTCGGGCGTGATCTGGTGGTGAAAGTGCTGCTTGAACAGCGCTTTCATCGCTTCCTTGTGCTGCTTGGGGATATCATTCTTGTAGCGCTGCGCAAACACGAGCAACGACTGGTGCCACAACACGGGCAGCTTGCGCGTGTCTGACGTGAAGCGGACAAAGTGCTGACTCAACTCGGAGATGACGCGCGTGGGTAGACTGTACTTCTTATTGAGCAGCACCCGGATGAACATACTGTTGCCCCCTGCGTACTCCATGGACGCGAGCTTCATCAACGTTGCTGCAGAATGTATCACAGGCACCGACACCTTGGACAGCACACTACCGATGATTGCGGCTTCTCGCTGCGTACAATTCCGGCTCTCACAGAGCGGGATAACGATCCCCTTGAAGAAGGCCTGTGGTTTGTACAGCGCTTTCTTGAGCGCCATATACAAGTGAAAGTTCAGCCTCTTGTTCTCGTGAATGTCTTGTCGTACGTGCTCGAGCAGGAAAATATTGAAAAAGCGCTGCGCCATCTTGGGGTTCAAGTTGGACGCAAACAAGCGCGTAGCTGCTCGCATGGCATGTGGTGACCACTTTTCCGGACTCGTGAGCCACAAAATATCTTCCCAGTAACTCAAGCTCGGGATGACCTTGAACGCTTTGGGCAACTTGCCCGACGTATAGCGATGCAGAATCTTGCCCACACCCGTATAAACTTGCACAATCTTAGCATCGAACTTGCCACGTTGCACAGCTTGACCGTCTTCGTCGTTATTTTCCCGACCCTCTCCACGATCACGTGCCTCTTTTTCAAAAATCTTGTCCATGATAATATCGGCGAGATTCCGACGCTCAGGGGCGCCCACCATAAACGCTGCCAGAGCTTCCTCGTCGTCGTCACACATCTCAATCTCTTCAACATAGTCTCCATTCATGCGCACAAGAACGTCCTGTCCGTCGTATTCATCCATGTCTTCGTCCTGTCCAGCTGCATCCAGCTCCTCCTCGTCGGACTCGTCACTGCTCTTGTCCTCTTGCGGTCCTGCTCTAGTGGTAATGGCTGACCCTTTGGTACTCAGCTGCCGTGCGCGTTCCCGCTGTTGCAGCTGCTGCTCTTCGACTTGCTGCTGTCGAGCGAGCGCCAACGTCCGGCGACTCAACTTTTCAGGCACCACGTCTTGATCCTCGTCCATGTCGTCGTCGAGACTCCTGCCATTCGAAGACGGACCGTCCGTCTTGAACTTGCTGCTGCTTTTGTGGTCGTACCATGCTTTGTTATCGAACGCCAGCTGCTTCTCGAGGGGACACGCGCGTTTCGGCTTCGCCTTCTCTGTCTTTGGCATCTTGGCGACGCTTGATGAATCAATGGCTACGAGCCGCTTTGGCTGAAAACCTGTCGATCAATTAATATCAAGTGTGAAAGATGGGTACTCACGCAGGCTGATGGTTCGAATAGATGAAACAACCAATTAATTGCTGCGGCGTCCAGTGCAAAACGTGCGCGTTTTTTTTGAAACAAAGTCGTTTTTTGTAAAGTGGAACGGAACGAGCGTGGGCGTGTTTTCTGCCATTGTCATGCACTCGACAGCTGCGAAAGACGCTTCACTTGTATCAGTAACAACAGATGAAAGCTCGACAGACCGCACTCGGGGACGTAGTCGACGGTGTGATGATGACACAGGAATGCCGGTGGCTTATAAAGTGCGTCTTTTGCATCCAACTTATCGCATGTAATATAAAATGTTTTTTTCACTTTTGTTTTTTGTTTGGATGAATGCACGGATTTGTAGGTGAGCGCCAATGCCATTGAGTCGGTGGACGAACTTCTAGCTAAAGACGCAGAAGACGAGAGTTTACGGAGGTACAAGGAACGGCTGCTAGGCGTCGCTGCTCATGGAGATCGGGGAGGTATTTAAAGTCCATGAAAGATGAATATTTGTTCATGTGTATACAGAATGCACGTGGTACCTATAAATGTCGATATGTTTGTGGACACAAACCATTATCAAACAACATTGTTGTGATAGTTATTGAAAAGCTTTCACTTTTGCCTTTTATCTTGTGGGACGTGATAGATGAATGCGACACACGTCGTGTGGTAGTCAAGGAGTTCAAGATTGAGTTTTTGGAAGATGGAAACGAAGACCTTGTCTACAAATTATCAACACCAGAGGGTGTGGAGCTGATGCGCACGACGCCTTTTGTCCTGACGGAAAGCTGTCGGTATCGCTTTGTCATCTCCTTTCAAGTAAATAAGACGATTGTGAGCGGGTTGCACTTTTGCACTAACGTCAAGAAAGCGGCGCTGGCCACACATGATAAAATCGTGTTGGGTTCGTATGCTCCACGATCCGAGAGCTACGTGTTTGTCTTTCCCCGTCGAGAATGGATGAAAGCTCCATCGGGACTTTTCTATCGTGGTAAGTACACGGGCAAATTCACGTTTATTGATGATGACCACATCAAGCACCTGGAGCAGTTGTACATGTTCGGTACGTTCGTTAGAGATCGTGGATTTTTGTATGGCTGAAAGAAAGACGAGAATGCTGATACGTTTGTGACGGACGTATTGTACAGAAATCAAGCGAGCCTGACAAAGCACTCGCTCGTTTGCGTTTTGCATATTCATGAATACCATCGATCAGTTCATGCTACACGGACTGACGCCATTTTTCAACGCTAAGAAGAAACGCCATTACTGTTATTGCTGGATATTGGTATTCTAGTTTCAGTTCCGGTGAATTGTTAATCGATCACTGGTATGACGCCGCCGTGCTCTGCAGTGGTGATTGTAATCGTGTCCGAAAATTGTGCACGGTTCGAAACAGCGGAATATGGTCGTTATCCTGTGTCCAAGATGGTCAGACGACCGTGTCAGCCAGCATCGATCAGACCCAAACGACAGTCAAGAAGTCAGGACAGCGGAAACTCTTCGCACAACACACGAGAAGAAGATCGATTGCCGAAGCTGCAGTCTGTGATTGCTGAGCGCAAAGAGACACCTCAGGCTCTCCGACTCGAGTCAGTATGATCCCTGCCCTTTCCCGGTCCGGCCGTCTCGATACTGATACTGGCCGCGCATCTGTAACTTTTCGTTGCACTGCGCGATTCCTGACGACGCCCGATCACCTTTGGGTTGTCAACCCGAGACTGAGAGACAGACAGGCCACAGGAGAAGCTGTTGTCAGTTTGCAAACGGGCAGGTAGTCAGTCCATCCATCCTCATGAAGACGTCATCATCAGTATCGGATCCCTTCGTGCTCGAGCGTTGCCTATTCAGCGAGAACAACGTGTGGTTCTACCGCGTTCCAGCTGGTCATGTGACGTCGCTTGCCCCTCGAGCAGATGCGTGGGACCCCGAGTATCCGTTACTCACAGGTTCCCTTCGTATCGTGCAAAAAGGAGACGCGTGTTCCGTCCAACTCTTCGAGTCGCTCGTTGCGTCTACTTCGGCGACTCGATCGGATCCAACTCCTCCTCTCTTTGCTCAATGTCCACTGCAGATCACACGGGACCTGCCATTGGACGTTTACGTCCACGACTGCGTCGACTCGTCGCGCTACTTTATGGTACGCGTGACGGACGACGAGAGCGGTCGACGGGCGTTTGTCGGCATTGGTTTCCCGGAACGGGCCACCGCGTTCAACTTCAAGGCGACATTGCAGGACTATGCCAAGTATGCACTCCGTCAAGTGGAGATGGAAGAGAGGGAGGAAGCAGCTGCTGGTAGTGGTGACGATGTGTCACTCGAAAAGTCAAGCAAGTTGAGTCTACCTGAAGGAGCGATGATCCGAATCAAGTTGAAGACCAGTCATGGCAGCAACGAGAGAGACAATGCGGTGCAACGTCGACCGAGCAGTGGCCGCACTAGCAATTGCAGTGGACAGAGTCAGGGAGCGAGTCGATCTCACGGGGTACCGTTGATTCCGCCGCCACCGAGCGAGTCATCGATGGCAGTGTCGGTCGTTGCTCCGCCGCGTGCAGGTGCTCTTTCGAAGCGAGACGACGACGACGAAGAGGACTGGGGCGACTTCACTGCTGCTTAGCTAGATGAAAATGGCTGAGTAGTAGGGGTCGCAGCTTCGAAATGTCGGGTAGAGCGCTGCTGTATGGACTCTAGCTGTTAAAGGGATGTCGGTCCAGTTACCTTCCACGCTGTGCCGAACTAAAAATCATGATAGGCTTAGTAATGCGTACACGAAGCAAGTGAGCTTTGACGCAGTTCTCCACAGTATGCATGGGACTTTTGTGCTACATATTACGGTGCAACTGCTTTCGACAAGTCTGATGTTCGGGTCATTTACGTCTGCAGAATAGCGTCTCTCACAAGTAGTATGCGGTGTGGGTAAAGCTAGCGACACAAACTGGTGTCGACAGGGTAAAAGATGAAGCGGTCATGACTATGGACAGAGGAGGCGAAATTGTGCACCATGACATGAAGGGATGGAACCATTTCAGATGATTGCGCGTGGAAGCAAAGCGTTTGCATCTGAGTCGTTGCGACATGCCCAATTCTAGCCCTCACTCAGGTACGTCGTGACTTTGTCATTGCGCATCTTGCCACTGCAGCCGAGCCCCGACGCATGCCACAAAAGGTCAAGTTTGTGCTACTTCGATCACAAAGCAAGCGTGATACCGCCGTGCACAAGTACGTCAGCCCAGTTTTTGAACGCAGAACTGGACAGTCGTACGTCATTTCCACGGTTATGCCAAGAGATGTGGTTGCAGTGTCTCGCTTGATATCAAAATGTAGGCAGTTTCTCGATCCCTTACTCCCCACAGCTCATCCATTCTTCTTATAACTCTAACATCTGGATGTTTTCTGGTCATCTCTTTGATCATATTCCAGCAATCGCATCGGCGTCTTTCGCACGTCATCAGAGAATTTACGAACATCAGGCACATGGTTTAAGTGCACAATCAAAAACAACTCCGTCGTCTTTCGTGGTTTGTTTTGCAATGGCTCCTCCTGCGTAGCACACCGCTACTCTCGACGTCACTGGGCTCATCCGTAGTACCTTTCAGCATATTCGTACTTCAAGCAATAGGTCGATCACATCCGGTTTGCAATTTAGTAGTGTGCCAAGTACAAATTTGATCATGTGTATAGTTGCGTCGCACTAGCCACAAATTTTGCTACAGGTATAGCTGAGAAGAAGGCTGGGTTGCATGCATTTCTAGCTGTTCGAGAAGTATTGATGGTGTAGCGGGGTGAGCCTGTTTCATGTAACTAACCCATGATACTTGCCAAGTATAATATCATTATAAAGACTGATGACGTTCGTGAATAAAACCTTTAGGGGTACTATTTAGAAACACACAACGATTGGCTGATATGAGTCGTCGAATCAGCCAGATCTAGCGATCCAATCGACGTTGGACGCGCACAATGAGCAAGACTTAAGCCTACATTTGTGTAGATAGATTTTAATAAATTTAGGACTAAAAAACATAACTTAATGATATGATCGGCTATAGGAAACAGTTAATCTCCCCTCAGTTTTCTGGTAAAATCCCCTCAGTTTGAATATATCGCTACATGACTGGCTAATAATGAGTCGAGAACAGAGGTAGCAATATCACATAAACTGTTTTTTTTAATTCTTTATGTCAAAATTATATAAAGGGACCGCCTAGGCGTACCCCCCCCCGTGATGTCGATTTTTTTTCTCCCACTATAGTGCGAGCTTTCCTCCATTCAATCCTATTATCTCTTTGTTCCTTGCTCTTTCGGCAATGCTAGCACCACCTCCCGAGCATACTTATCCTTCTCTTGATGATGCTCAGTTGGCAGTAGAGCGGTTTGTACTTGACCAAGGCTACGCTGTGGGGGGACGGACTCGCTCAAAACCCTCCAAAAGCGGTGAAACACGCAAGGTCTGGCTCCATTGCTCGCACGGCCTAGAGTATAGGAACCGTCGCGAATACCTCACTGAAGGAAATCGGAAGAGAAAGACCAGCAGCAGATGCATTGAATGCCCCTGGAGCGTCACTATGAAAAGAGAATTGACCGCAGAGGGATGGATGTGGCGGGTCAAGGTAGAGGAGGAATTCTCACAACCTTGAGGCAACAGCGGATATGTCAGGCTTCCCCAGCGCACGTAAAGTCAAAGATCAAGCGCGACAGGTCACACAACAGATGTTCAAGTCCAGTGCAGCCCCCAAAGTTATCCTCACGACCTTACGGCAACAAGATCCGCAAATATACCTCACCAGTAAAGACATCTCCAATGTAAAAGCCCGACTTCTACGAGAAGATTTGAACGACCGTACACCTCTGGAGGCCCTGCTAGACGAGCTGCAGGAAAAAGAGGTCATGCATGACTATGCCAAAGACGATGAGGGTCGAATCACACACCCCTTCTTCGCTACGCCAAGTGCTGTTGATCGAGCCAGAGAGTTTCCCGACGTTGTATCAATGGACTTTACGTACAAGACCAACAGGTGATGTGCTTCACACCTTGCAGTCTGCATTATACAAGTCTCTAACCCAACATTTGTCAACTAGGTTCAAGCTCCCACTCCTCCACGTTGTCGGCATGACCAGCACCAATGCTACATTCTCCATATGCTTTTGCTTTATGAGCGGAGAGACAAAATAGGTCTATGTTTGGGCTTTGATACGCGTGAAAGGGGTGTTTATCTTGAAACGCCTGCCTGGGGTGGTGGTTACTGATCGAGAGCTGGCCTTAATGTCAGCAATTAAAATCATACTAGGAGATGCTTTTAATCTTCTCTGCATATGGCACATCAAAAAGAACATTGTCGCCAACCTGAAAAAACATTTCCGAACTAATAAAGGGTGGGAACGGTTTCTGGCAGACTGGCACCTTCTGGTTGCTTCGATAGATGTGGAGACGTTTATCGCTGATTGGAAAGATCTGCAAATCTCCTACTGCAAGTACGGAAAGACCGTGGAATACCTGACGAGCACATGGATCGTACACAAGGGAAAGTTTTTCACCGTATCCACCAAGCTTGTCTTGCATATTGGTCACTTGGCTACATCTCGCGCTGGGGGCAAACATTCTTCGACAAAAGGATAAATCAGTGTCTCTTCGGGAGATCTCATCGATGTGTACAAGAAGATCCCCCTCTCAATCGAATATCAAGAACATCACATCCGTCAACAGATTATCTACAACAAGACGCATTCCATGCTCGCCTTCTCTCACAACATTTGGGAGTATGTTAAGCAAAAGATATCACACTAGTGTTTGAACAAGGTGCATGAATAGTTCCAGAAAGCTATACACCTGGCTGGTGAATCCATCTGCTCCAGCATCTTTCGAAGTACGATGGGTCTATCTTGCTCCCACGAACTCAACCGTTTAATTGGCAACAATTTTTCGTTGCGGACCCACCATTTCCATATTCACTGGTGGCTTATAAAACCTCAAGATCTTGAGTGCAATGACAGTGATACCTCTGCAGATGGGATGACAGATTTTGCAAATGCATTGACACGGCTGCAATCTCATCGCAAAACTCTTCCCCCACACTGGCAACGTCTTTTGGAGGAACGAATTGTAGAGCTCTCCCAACAGCCGCTCACACCAGTACACAATCCTGTGGTAGTGCGGACTAGAGTTAGACCTGTGGGTGCGGTGGCGGGGAGTAGCACAGGGCGTAATCCTTTTGCGTTTGAGTTAGTGGAAGCTAGAGCGCGAGATCCGCGAAGATGCGTATTTCCAGATTGTCGAGAGGAAGGACATGACAGGCAAAATTGTCCTCTCTTGAGATAGCTAACAGCTAGCAGAGTAAATAATACGTATGCATTGACTAGATTTTACTATGTGTATTTAACATTCGGAACACGAACATGATTTTCCGCGTCAGGTTGCAATCACTTTCAGATATGTAACGTGAGGAATTAAATTTCATCGCGTCACGTGCAGGGTGTGTGCGTGCAGTTATGAGGGGGCGTAGCAATCCAAATGCACCACACGTCACGCTGGCTCGTGCCTGACACCTGAATACGCGCCTTTCGTAAAATCCTCTCTGAAGTGCTTAGCTCTGTATCCATTTCGTAGCTGAAAAGTGACGTTGCGCAGCGCTGAACGCAGTCAGCTCGAGATATATTCAATGTACTGAACCCTTCGCTGCTCTGAAGTGCTTCCATCTTCACCAGGGATGCCGCTGCCTTCGCTAGCAGCGAAATAAAAAAAAATGGCTCCTCACTCTCGAAGCCGCCAAGATTATACGGAGCATCCAAGGGGTGTGAATGACACCGTGGTCCGTTACAACCTCAGTGACAGTAGTTAATTCGCTCTCGCGCCTCCGGAGTATATTCCGATAGAAAAGACAAAATCAGCACAATTTAGTATCATGTCAGCCGGCCCTCCCACATAGATCTAACACCCACGCACCGTCATGTAATGCCTCATGTAGATACAAGGCGAAGTCGAGACCGCAAACTCTCCAACCGCAGCGTCGAGATTCAGGCCGCAATGTTCGACCAAAAAGCTATCAGCACCACAATTTTACCCCGTAAGTATCTCCATACAACGCCGACACTGTCATAACTCACCGCACAACGAGAAACCCGAAAAAGTTTTAGCCATCCGCCCCAAAAACAGCCATATCCATGTCCTTTTCATCGTTCTTCAAGTAGGGTCCTTCGTAATGCTTGTGCCGATCTGTTGTCTTGCACCTCCGGACCCATTTCCCCATCTACATACAATCACCCAGTAACACCAGTCACACGTGACGCCCACAGCCTACCGTGCCAAACTATTAAAAAGAGCTCCAACCTTCACTCCCGTTAACCTTCAGATTGACATAATGAACATCTAATCCGTCCTACTCCCTACCGGCCCATACAATTGTCCAGTCAATACTTCCCATTCCCTCACCATCACCCCCACAGCAAAACCACAACCGCACCACTTGACATCGTGCAGATACGTGTCGCTGCGTGTCGCGTCAATCACGAGCCCCGGATTCACTACAGACCCCGAGCGCGTGCCGACAATCGGTTGCTCCATCACCACCGACGGCGCGTGACTTCTTCGACTGGAAAAATGGATCTCTTAGCTAATAAACAACAGCACAGAAAAAGAAAGACACATGAGAGCGTAAGCACGGGCCACGCCACAGACGGGACAGCATCTCACATACATAGACGCGAGCGGGGTGCGCAGGTGTAAAAGCGGTGCGCTTTGAGGCGCGTCGTGTACGGCAGCGTGCGCTTGAACAGCTGCCAACGCGTGGCGTCCTAGCGCAGCAGCTTGCGGCCGCCCGAGGTGGCGTGCTTGGGCTTAGCTGGGCGCGTGGCCGAGTCCTCGCTGTTCATGCTGTGGCTTCAACATAGTGTAAAAGATAGTTATGATCCCTAGTGGCTTCTTCCGCACGCTAACTCTTGGTTGCTGGTCAACGCGAGAGAAAATGAACCTCGTTTTATAAAACGAGAGGGTACACAGATCGATTAGACGATTACATACACGGGGGGGGGTGCGCGCAGTTTGTAAGGAGTAAGAGTTAAGTAAAGTAAATGACTTGTATATTACCGCGCACCAGACGCGTTTCGGCCCCCCGCCGGGGGCCTCATCAGTGGTTTGTCAATCTACAAGTGAGAACTATCCATACGTCTAGCTGCCGTACGACCTATAATAATGCATAGAACCCTAAAGAACATTCTAGACATACCCTATCATGGGTCGAATCTCTGGAGTCGAATCCAGTGCATCATGCACTTACCACACTCCCCCTCGACGACATGAGATGCAGACCACTTTGGTATCGACCCGCCTGTAATCCTCACTGCTGCATCCGTGCACCATGGGAATCTTGATTGAGTCTTGCCCCTGCGCTCCAGCCAACCTCGATGATACCGAGCGTTCCAGGTATTCCAGCTCCCCCATCGTCCAGCACCATGTCACATCTTGACATCTCGTAGTCGTCGTTCGCCTTGCATGTAGTTTCCACTTCTTCTTGACCACAAATACACTTGTCACCACTCGACTTGACTCTTCCTTCGATAGCACTCGCGCATTCAGACCATCTCGCGTCACCACCCTTGCACAAACCCTTTTCGACTGCACGCGCACCGTCAACGATCCCTGTCGATGAATTCTTCGGCGCCTTACTCGTGCATCGAGCGCCTTCTCTGACGGGGTGTCCCTCGCACAAGTTGGTCCTTGGTGAGGTGTCTGCAGCGAGCACTTGGGCTCATAACCTGTAAGGAGTAAGAGTTAAGTAAAGTAAATGACTTGTATATTACCGCGCACCAGACGCGTTTCGGCCCCCCGCCGGGGGCCTCATCAGTGGTTTGTCAATCTACAAGTGAGAACTATCCATACGTCTAGCTGCCGTACGACCTATAATAATGCATAGAACCCTAAAGAACATTCTAGACATACCCTATCATGGGTCGAATCTCTGGAGTCGAATCCAGTGCATCATGCACTTACAACACAGTTACTAGAGGGTGTACGCCTAGACAGCCCCTACATAAATTTGACCAATTTTTTGTGTGAAAATATCGTGTGATAGACGTCATTGTCGGCGGCTTTACGGCCAAGTAATAATGTCCTTAAATGAAAACAGTACTGAGTAAGTAAGCGTGTGAGTGTATAGCTATCATAACAAACCAAATCAAGCAACGATCATCGTCACTGATGCACTATTCAAGAATAATTTGTGGAGATGACGCGGCCGTAGCGTGGAAGTGGGTCACAATGGAACATGGTAGTCCGTCGCATATTATTGACTAGCGTGACAATATCCTACCAATTTTATCCGAGATGAATAATATTGAAGGTGTGTTATCCCCTTACAGGATCATTTTCATGTGCTGCTCAAAGATTGGTTGATTAAAGACATATCAACCAATGTTACTACCAACTGCTGCTAGAAGTGCGTAATGAGTGGTAAACAGTTTGTCGTCACACGACAAATGTAACTTCAGTTTTTTTCTAACTAAATTAATCTAAATTGTCGTGTGACGACAAACTGCTCACCACTCATTACGCACTTCTAGCAGCAATTGGTAGTAACATTGGTTGATATGTCTTTAATCAACCAATCTTTGAGCAGCACATGAAAATGATCCTGTAAGGGGATAACACACCTTCAATATTATTCATCTCGGATAAAGTTGGTAGGATATTGTCACGCTAGTCAATCTTGCTATTGACACCGTTTGGTGTCAATATCATATAATGGGCTACCCCGTTACATCACCCCCCCCCTTAACCGTCAATCACCCGTTGATGGAATTTTATAGATTGGGACAGGGTGGCCACCGTTAGATCACTCTGGGAAAGGGAAGCACTTGTTGTACGGATTCCAACTCATTTGCCAATTCATCCCATGGTGTCAAAGCCCATGTTATGTGCTGCCGAAGCAGCCAAGAAGGCGTTGCACGCGTGCATGCAGCCGAAGAGAGTACTTCTCTTGCTTCAGCAGCAGGTGGTCATTCGCCTGCTGTTTCGACTCCATATGTGGATGAGCATGAATTTGAGCTCATCTATTCTGGAGGGTAGGATGATCCATACAGATCGAAGGCGACTCCTCACGCCTCCGTATCATCCGGGGCGGACACTGCAAGAGCCAGGTTGACTGGCCCTAGGGAACGTGGCGGCATCATGTCCTAGATATT